TTTAATTTAATTTTAATTTAATTTAATTTAATTTTTGGGAGTTCATGTTTTACCTACATACAACATGTCTTCTTAACCTGGTTTAAACGTGTGTTGAGTGCAAATGATTGGCATGTAACCGTTTCTACATCTACAGGCACCAGCGGCGCTGAAAAAATGTTGCGACTTCGTCAAGTCAACCATCATGGAAGAAGTGGCGGCCCTGAAGAAATATTTCTGGAAGCTGACGGCGTACGCCGAAAAATACCCGGACTTGTCGGGCTTCCAGGACGATCTGCTGCACCTCTTCGCGCAGAACTTCTGCTGTATGATGGAACTGAAAGACTCCGTTGAACTCGTGAGCGCCGACTGGCTGGGAGCGATGCTGGAGAGAGACGACTTGTCCGCCCCTAGCGAGTTCGCCGTTCTGGAGGCCGTGCTGCGCTGGGTGCGCCACCTACCGGGGGAGAGGGGGAAGTACACCCCCTCGCTGTTGAGCAACGTGCGGTTCGGGCTGATCCCGAGGGACATGTTGACGAGCCCCACCCTGGCTAACGACACCTGTTTCCCCGGGCTGAAGGAGGCGTGTCACACGGCGGTGCAGTACCACTACCTGCCGCAAGAGTTCCGTCCCTCCGTGTCGCTAGAGTACGACCGGCCCAGAGGGGCATCTAAGGTAAGGAGCAACTTGGTAACTTTAAAATTCCTTTGCTTTCATGGGTGCATTTTTTTGACTTCGCAGAAGGAAAACATATTGTTTTTGCATAGTTTCTTCTTCTTCAAACACGTAAGGTCAATACCTGGACCTGACGTCTGTCACCATGGTAACTAATGCTGTAGCAGACACCCTGTGGGTTAGCTAGCAGGGCAGACTGGTTAGAGGGGCTTCTTATGATATATATGTACTAGTATATGAATGTGTCAGAGTAAGAATAAACAGGGCAGTGTTTTTTTGGGATAGACCGTGTGAAGAAAATATTATGCTTTTGCTTTGCAAATGTTTAACCTCTCTAGTTGTATTTCTGTTTGTTGTCCGCCATGCAGGTCCTGTTGGCCTTCAACACGGACCACAGCAGCTTCTGCTACAGCGACATGGGCAACACGCAGTACTTCGACGTGGACACGCGCCAGTGGGCCACCCTGAAACAGGTCAAGCCGCCCTCCGTCCACCCGGTCGGCAGCTCAGCCGTCTGGGACGGCCGCCTCATGGTCGTGCGGTGCGGGAACGAGATCTTCAGCCTGGACCTGGGGAACGAGAGCTGGGAGAAGCTGCCCGACATGATCCGGCCGAACCCCGACGCGCAGCTCTGCGTCCACGACGGATTCTTGTACGCCATCGGCGCCGACACGAGCGAGAGATACGATAGATCGACAGGACATTGGCAGTGGATAGCGCCACTGAGCGAGGCGAGGTCGGGCGTGGCGTTAGTTAGCTACATGGGTTGTCTGTACGCCGTAGGGGGGACGAAGGACATGGAGCCGTCCAGCGCTGTTGAGGCGTTTGATCCGGAGAGAAACAGGTGGGACATCAAAAGCTCCACGACTAAGTCTCATCCAAAAACGATAGCTTTCGTGGCAAACGGAAACATGTACGTGACGTCCGGGGACTGTGGATCTGGCAGTGTAGCAGTAGTTGAGGTTTATTCGTACGGCAACTCGTTTGGAACGTGGTCCAAGGTTGACCAGTCGCTGGTCTCCCCCGGAGCGGTGCAAGCTGGGAGTAAAGTGTTGTTCGTGGTCGGACGGCGCGTTTTTGACGGAGGAGTCCGGCTCCTGCCCGACCAGGTCTTTCCCGCAGACACGTACGGCTGGAGGGAGATCTGGGAGAAACCTGACGTCTGGCACGAAGTCGTCCTGCTAACCGTGGAAAGATTTGAGTAAATGTTTGCCGAAAGGGAAATAGCCTTCGCCGAGAACAGGTCCTTCTCTGAGCGCAGCGCATTCGCTGTTGAATTCGGTTCCTTCTCTGTTGAATTTAGTCCCATCTCTGTTGAATTCAGTTCCTTCGTTAAGCACAACTTTTGTACCTATGGTCTTTCGTAAGTGTGGGTGCCAGACTGTTGCCATGCTTTCATGACTCTTCCTTGTGTGTTAGAGGTAATAACGGAAGCGATAACAGAAATGAATGGTTTGAGTATGCACATATGAAAAGAAACAACTTACAGTTCTTACAGTTACACCATTAAGGTTGCCTAGGTCGACATAGACAACTGGCTGTTAACAATGTCCTTTCTAAAACATTGCTCATTATTATATATTATAACGTTAACAGAAAAGGAGTAAGCACAAAAGAAGTACACGTTTATGACATTTTACTCGAGTTAACATCTGCCTTTGTAACCTTTCAGAAGCCCATTCTTTTATCAACAGCCTCCTGAGAACAGTAACGCGATATGTTTAACTCTGCCTATACCTTTCTGTTTCTTCCCTTAAAAGCACATATTTTGTGTCATTCAGTTGCTGTGAGCACAAAGTGATTGCTTTTATTTCAATTGTATAAGACTCCAACACCTGCCCGCTGCTATTTTCACCTTTTAGAAGCGCATAGTTTTCAGGCCAAATCTTGCTATAAGTACGAAGTAGGGCTTATGTGATATCTTAGACGTCTGTGAACCATGTGGCAAAAGAGATATTAGAGAGTGTTTACGATAATTACAACGGCTGAAAAGTCACGGAATTTAGATGTATAGCAAAAAAATTATATGTAGTTGGTGATATACATGCTTTATGTACACATGAGTGTATGAAGAGTCAGTTTCTGTAATTTGTAGCTTCATAAATATATACGTTTTAGTTTTAAGTTAAGAGATGCTGAAATCAGTGGCCCCCGGTCGGTAGCTTACCTGAGCGTGGGCGCGTAGAACATGTACATCAAGGACATGAGGTAGATTCAGCTGTGTACTCTTGACTATCTTTGTAGCTTTCACGCCTAAGTTAAAAGTTAATGGCCCCCACGTACATGTACATCAAGTACTTGATGCACACAGAGTCCGTGCACATCAAGGATATAGATTCATTTGTGTACTTTGGCTCTCTTTGTAGCTCTTATTTATCAATTTTAAGTCAATTACCAGATGTACATGTACATCAAGGACTTGATGCATTTAGAGCCATCCATACATGTGCTGTCTGCCGGAGTTGAGCTTTTAGTATGAGAGCTTTTATACCTGTAGCTTTGCTCTAATGGAGACTTTGTCTCTCCAGCGAACACCTAGGATTGAGCACATATGGAATCGTTTGAACTGCTTAATGTGTTTCTTGTATGAAGTCCAAGTCTCACATCCGTACAGGAGGCTGGGCATGACAATTGCTTGGTAGGTGCTTTAGATGCTGTATTTCATGTTTCCCATTATTTCCTCCATTAGCAAGCATTCAAGTGCAAACAGACATTGAAGGGGTCGTGTGGCGTAGCGGCAGAGTGCTCGAATCGGAGCCAAGAGGTCCCGGATTCGAGTCCTGACATGCCACAGGTCTTGTCCCCTTGGGAAAGGCACTTAACACGAATTTCCTCCCGTCTTTCAGCTGAAAATGAGTATTGTATTGTCCCCTGTGTTGGTGGCGGCATAAATATAAGTTGAAAAACATGAGTGTGCCGTCACAATGTCTCGTGATTACATGTTGGAATATAAAAAATGCCAGCATTTTGTGACCGACGAACGGGTCGAACATCTAATTACTCTAAACAGTGTTTAAAGCTATTTAATGATGATGCCCCAACTATTACAGCGAGAATATTTTGTCGGTGTGACTTTATTATAGGGCTTGGGAGGGTTGCTGGAGTTCAGGTTTGAGTGTGGCTTGCAACTTGCAATTAATTCTACTGCGGGTTCAACTACCTTAGACCTTACTTCACCCCCAGCGTTTTTATTCTTCAATGACGCGCGCTTCTCGGAATTTTTACCGGGTCTGATAACTGAAAACACCTCCAGGCGGAATTGCTGGTAGCAATCAGTGTGAAATTGGTGTACTCAGAACATCCTGAGTACCGTTACAATTACCTCCAACCTCGCGATGGTTTTATTTCAATCATAAGATAAGTTTTCAATTTACGGCTAGTACCACCGCCTGCGAAGCTTAAGGGCGCTTTGTTGCTGAAGCTGTCTGACGCCAGAGACCAGGTTTCTGCCACGCATACTTCGCAGACTTGTTGGGCATCGGCATTATTTTTTTTCGGTCAGCGATGCGAGTTATGCCGCGGAGGGACGATTTTGCCGCCGAGGGAGTTTTTGCCATGAAGAGAAGGTTTCCCGCTCCAACAAGCGGCATAACTCGCGTCGCTCACCGAAAAAATAATGCCGCCGCCCAACAAGTCTGCGGAGGAGGCTACGAAAACCTAGTCTCTACCAGACTAACTACGCATGGCTATATATTGAACATTTGCCAGGGGCCGGGGAGTTTGGCCGCCTTGCAGGTTTGCTTGGAGGGAAAGAAACTTCCTCCCCGCGGCCGGACTCCCCTGGCCAATTTTACTCTCTTTTTTGCCAAATTCTACGATCCGTATTACCGTAGAAAGACGTGGTGGAGGCATGGAGTTAAATTTCAACTCCATGGTGGAGTCCAGCGAAAACCGGTGCCGCATGCACTCTCTTTGATTTCGCTCCATGTAATCAAATTTGTATGGCCTAAGATGAAATAAAGATCTTCGTTATACTCTCTCGGTCTATATAATATGACTGCATACCTTATGGACATTACTTTAAATTAGTTGCTACGGTTATATTGTGATGATGTTTAGTATGTTTTTCTGGAGCTGTGTGTGAAGACAATAATCTAAATTAGTTGCCAAGGTTACACTGTGATGATGTTTTGAACTTTATGGATGGGGTTGGCTGTGTACGCGCGTGTATCTGTGTGGACAATAGTTTAAAGTTGTTGCCAAGGCTTGATTGTCATAGTGTTTGGTACTGTTTTATCTTTGGCTGTGTGTGTGGGTTTGTGGACAATACTAGTGGTTTACAGGTGATTCAAAATCATCTCAATCACAACGCTTATTCACATCAGACGGAAGCGTGTGTATTTTTGACAAACGTGCATGTTCAATGAATAGTACATATATTGTAAACGGGAAATGCTGTAGCTTGGTTTCATTGCTATCACAAACACTTTAAATCATACATTGTGGTAGCTGATAGGTGAGTTCGTGTGCAAACAAAATGATACATAGCATAGTCAAAAGTTCAAAACCATACATATATACTATGTACACTGTATATACATCTGAATAAAGTACTTAACGTACTTGCCATGTACTAGCCTGGGTGCCATCCTCCGTAGTTTTCGTCCGCTCCCTAACGTCGCTGGCTACGTGGTTTGTTAGCCAGCGACATTAGGGAGCGAGCGGGTGGAATAACTACGGAGGATGGCACCCAAGCTAGCCATGAACTGCATTCAATTTGACAATCAAACCGTTTTACACAGAGGTCGTTGCTACGTTCTGCTGTGGGCCCACCTCTACGCTGTTTCTGCTACAGCACACAATGTACAAACCGAAGGCGACGGACCTCGCCATCTCACTTACGACTTTACGGAAGGACTTTTGGCACACACTGTACACGACAACGTCCAGGAAGGTGTTGAACCACGCCACCCAGAGCGACCAAAACAGGGCGGTGGGCAGATGATGCCCCAGCCAACCTGCGATTAAGATACCCATCCACGGAAGTGGCATTACTGTTTGTATGAGGGTTAAGATCAGCACAACCTTAGCGTACGAGCGATCATCGTGGTGGTTTGGAGCCACGGCCGGGTTAGCGTTCTGGGGTGGACCCCCCGGCCCGGGCATGTTAATAATATACGAGGGGTGTTCAAAAAGTTCTCGGCCTCACCTAGAAAACGTCAGGGCAGTAAAATTTTTCTTACACTATTTTTTAATATAGTCCTCTCTAACTGCAATGCACTTGGTCCAGTGATGTTCCAGCTTTATTTTCCCATTGTGGAAGAAGGTTGCATCTGGACCCCCCAGATTGGCCTATACCGCATAGATGACGTCATCATTACCATCAAAACGTTGACCACATAAGGGGAACTTGAGTTTAGGAAACAGGTAGAAGTCCAAGGGTGCTAGTTCAGGTGAATTGGAAGGGTGGGGTTAGACTTCAAAGCCAAATTCGTTTGCTGCTGCCACTGACCCCTGTGCTGTGTGGACAGGTGCATTTTCATCACGCCAGCTCGATGCTTTCCTCTCCTTTTCTCTTTGACTGTTGTACTCAACTGTCGCAATTCTGTTGAATAGTACTCCCCATTGATGCTTTAACCCCTTCGCATGTAGTCAATTATGATTACTTCCTTACTGTCCCAGAAAACAGAGGCAAAAACCCTGTCAACGGACGAAACTCGCTAAAACTTCTTGGGGGGCCTGGAAAAATTCTTCATCCATTGTTTGCTCTGCTGTTTTTATTCGGGCTGAAAGTGGTGAACCCAGCTCTTCTTGGGTTACAAATGTTTTGAGGAAATTGCATGGATTGGACTGAATTCGTTCCTTGAAATGTCCAGCCTGTTTAACTTCTGATGTTCAAAAAACATTAGAGGCACCCACCATGCAGACAGTTTTTTCATCCCCAGGATGTTCGACAAAACATTGTGAACTGAGTCATAACACAGGCCAAAGAACCTGCTACATGTTGGCCAGTCTCAAATCTGTCATTCACTACCATGTGATGGATGGCCTCAACTGGATTGTCCGTGGTGCTGATTTGTGGCATCCTGACATATGTTCATCTTTTGTGCTGTCCTTGCCGCGCTTGTAGCTAGTAACCCACTTCTTAATAGTTGAATAAGAAGGGGAGTCATCACCAAGTGTCTTGACCATGTGTTTATGGATGTCCTTAGGAGACATCCTTTTTTATCGATACACTTGATCAGAGCTCACGCGTCTGTTGCGGCCATTTTGTGATTTTCCCTCACCCACCCCATTTTCACGGGGCGTCACGTGCTAATTAATGAATATAAAAATTTGAATTTTTGTGTGCAGTGATGTAAGACGTCATAGTATACAGCTATACCAAAGAATAGGAGTTTGACCTTTATTTTCTAGGTGAGGCCGAGAACTTTTTGAACACCCCTCGTAGATCTGTACAGCAGGTGCCGGCGGCGGCTCGGGCGGCGTACACACCGCTTTTAAGATCCGGACAACGCAATACATTGTCACGGCAAGAGCGCTACAAGATATGACAAACGACGCTGCCGTAAACCATATGCAGGCAAAGAGATCATAAGTCGTGACGGACATGATCGGATCGTAATATACGGGAACCCAATAGACTGTGCAGATGATAAACCAAGTGTATACCCCAACCCAAGCGGTGAGAAGAAAGCCGCAGGTCTTCTTGTGGGATATACCCTCTCCGTTGTTCTTCAGTGCCATGTATCGGTCTAGGTTCAGGCCTGACAAAAAGATATAAAACAATATCTTTGCTCACTTGCAACTCATTTCATATCACCCTATCAAAATTCAAAGGTATTCTTAATCAAAATCCACTGTGGAAGTGAAAGTTTGATCGATCAAATGTATAAACATCAAATTTATAACATTACACAGTGTTCTAGCCAGCGTCTATCTTTCCATCATTTGACGAAAATTTTGCCGCTCATGACGGACAAAAAAATTTGCCGATTCCGTCATCTTTGGTGGACAAAAATCGGTGTGTTAAGATATGGAAACGTGTCATTAAACCAAGCTCAGTCTACCAACAAAATTTGCCCCTCACAAAAGTGTGTCAGAGGGTCAAGACTTCGAAAATTTCATGGGGAAGCATGCCCCCCTGGACACCATAGAAGTAAGTTATCGCGCCTTCTGTGCGATGCCTTGCGCTTCGGAGCTCACCCAGTCAAACAAAATTGAGATGACGGAAAAATGTCAAGTTGGCTAGAACACTGGTTGAACACTGTAAGTTACAATTCATTGAGTTTGAGTTTATGATAGAGCAGTTTTATAGTACAACATGGTATCATTATAGAAGAAGGTGTTACCTGCGAGAGCAGCAAAAGTCATGGTGGAGGAGGCGTGTGTGATGACCGCCGTGGCACGGGCGGCGGTCTCGGAGTAGACCCACTCTCCTGACTCGGCGGGCTTCACCATGGCCGCGAGGGCCAACCCAAGCAGCAGGTCCGAGCAGGCGATGGAGGCAATGAAGAGCCGGCTGCTGGATGGGAAGGTCTCCCGCCTTCTGGTCGCCACGAGGATGAGAAGGTTCCCGGCGATGGCCAGCGCCGCTACGGTGGCTATGACGCCCGGCTGGGCTGGAGAGGCCGCCGCCGGAGGAGACTCTGAGGACACTGGTGCGGCCGCGGACGCGTTGATCGCGAAGGATTCGTTTAAGAAATTCATGTCTCTATCGGCGAAGGAATCGCTGGAGATATTCATGTCTCTATCGGCGAAGGAATCGTTTGAGAAATTCATGTCTCTGATCTGTGTCGTTTGACGTCTCCTTGGGTGATGATTCTGTCGGGTTGAATGTTTTTCCAGCCCAACCGCGAGATACGACGACAAGAGCGCCCTGACTAGTACGTCGCGAAGGAATCGTTTGAGAAATTCATGTCTCTGATCTGTGTCGTCGTTTGACGTCTTCTTTGGGTTGATTCTGTCGGATTGAATGTTTTTGCAGCCCCACCGCGTGATACGACGAAAAGCTAGAGCGCTCTCACAGTCTCACGTATGCGTCTGTCTACCAGACTACCAGACTAAATAAGCTGGATATAGATAGGCCGAGTTCGGTCGCCGCCTTCTGATCTGACTGGCCGCGGATGAATCAACTTCGCCTGGTCAATTTTTCTCTCCTTTTGCTAATAATGCTAAATGCCAAATGCCACGACCCGTATCAGTCTGATCCGAAAGACCTGGTGGAGCTTGAGGCTAGCTGTGCACGACGAAAAGGAGTCTTGAGCTGGAAAGCGGAGAGACGACAATGTGGAGCGAAGAGGTGAGTCTCAGTGGCTTACAACGTTGAGTGTGACGTACGTGTACGTTAGTCTCTACCAGACTAACTACGCTGGCCATATATAGGAGAATATTTCCCGGGGGAGTTTGGCCGCCTTGGGGTTTGACTATGCCGCGCAGTTATCCCTTCGGAGGGAACGAAACTACCTCCCCGCGGCAGGACTCCCATGGCCAATTTGATTCTCTTTTTTGCCGAATTCCACGATCCGTATCCCCGTAGAAAGGCCTGGTGGAGGCTACCTCAGCTCACTTTATGAAATAGCATCTCCCATACTCATTTCCGCTGCTAGGCAACAAGATATAAATGACTGTATGGAGCTCGTCATAGTGCGGCAGCTGGGCACTTCAAAATAATGGCTTCTGACTAAGTGGAAGGAATCTTTCTTTGAATGTTTTTTAACTCGAAAATATAATTGCACCACCGGGCAGCTTGGAATGCCGGAAGGAATATTTCTTTTTCCAACATGTAATCACCAGACGTGCGTGGTGACGGCACACGCAAGTTTTTTTCAACTTAGGTCATGTTGATTTGATTATTTGGATGACATCCTCTGGGAACCCCAAAACTGATGCGAGCGCGCGAATAAAAAAAAAGTTTTGCAAAAAAAAAAAGTTGCTTTCATGAAATCTACGTTGTTATGAAGGTCGAACAAATGACACAGAGTATGGTATGGCGAATAATCTACTCTTTACATTCATTTCTTTGCATTTTAGTTTTTTGTTTGATTTTGGCATTCTACGACGTTGGAATCGTTTTCAAATATTTTTTTTGCAACTTTCGGTATATATTTGCTCATTTTTTTAACTGTTTTGTACAATTTACAGTGTGGTTGGAAACTTTTTTTTTTTGGAAACGGCCGAAAATTCATGCGCGCGCGGATGTCATCCATATAATCAAATCAACATGCCCTTGCTCGTAGTAAAGAATGACTAGACATCAGATATCCCCCAATGATTTTAAAAGCCGATTTTCAGTTCACACTTCATTCTCACCCCATACTACACAATCTTGTACTATTAAACGAAGGGCGAAGAACAATGCTACCCGCGGAGTGGTAGTCACTAACCATCATCCAGCTCTACGGAGCAGATTAGGTTAGACCCCCCACCGGGCCAAAGCTCGCACATCCGGGACATTCACACTACAGATTGCTGAACAAAATGGCGGTCGGACAGATTTTGGCGAGACGCTTCACAACTTCGGCTGTCAGGCGTTTCCATGTGGACGAAGGACCAGGCAATGTAAGTATATCCTGTCAAGAGGAAGTAGAGGGCCCGTTGAATAGAAATTAGTGTCTTCGTACGTGCATTTAGTTGCGAAATATGCGTTAGTATGATGGAGGTCACGTAACGCTTTTGAAACCGAAGGCAAGGTCACAAGATGTTTTGCGAACACCAGGGCCCGTTAAAAATTTACTCTGGTTATATATTGCACTTTGTGTGTTCCTAGACACGTCTGGAAATCACTGGAATCCACTAGGATTCATAAAGGTATCTTGAAGGTAACAAACAGAAGTCAGCACCACATAGAAGAACCACCCCTAGAAAAACAGCCATGACTTGATATGATTTGGACAGCTGACAGTCGACAGGCATGATCCCCAGCAAACGTTTCTATGCCTTAAACCACCTGAAAGGCTCAAACTGATGTATACTTTATACCCCAAGTTCAAAGCACACACACAGTTGAATTTATTCAACATATATATATATTACTTTAGTCAAATTATGTACCTTGCTTGTATCTTTGTATAGTTCACATTTTTGTTTTGACCTGTGCTTAGCTCAGTGGTACAAATATGTGCAACAAAGGCCTTGAAAAAAAGTGCACCATACTAAAGGTCTTCCTTCTCGTGAAATGCCCACAGAACCTGCCCTTCTCTGTGGCGAACAAGTGGCGACTACTTGGCGTGATGACGCTGTTCTTCGGCAGTGGATTTGCAGCACCCTTCCTGGTAGTCAGACACCAGCTGCTAAAGAAGTAAAATGGTCCAGGACAGGTGAGTGGTGCCACACATATGCAGGGCTCAAAATACTGGGTGCATGCACCTAAGTACGGGTAAAATTGGGGCTGTGCAGGTATTTCTGATATCTATCTGCACCTAACCTGCACGCTCCATGTACTGGGTATATGCACCTTAGTACAGGTAAAATTGGAGCTGTGCAGGTATTTCTTATGTCTACCTGCACTAGTCCATGTACTGGTTATAATATGTGGACCTTAGTGCAGGTAAAATTGGAGCTGTGCAGGTATTTCTGATGTCTATCTGCACCTAACCTGTACTGGCCCATGTACTAGGTCTAGATATGCATGTAGATCATGTATGTGATTTTTCAGCAGCATTGACTGTTATCACCCATGAAGTACAAAAGAAATAATGGGAATGGCCTCTGAGCATAGAAGACCGCAGGTTACTGTACATGTACTTTGTCAAATTGTTCAGGTACAGGTAAAGGTACCTGTACCTGTAACTGATATTATGTTTAGGAATGCAGCACTAATGAGATGTTTTGCTCTTATATTTTTCAGGCCAGTACCTCTGGGGTGAAGCTCTTTTGTGGTAGAGTAACCAGCTTGGAAAGAATCAACTGTACCATGACACAGCCATCACTAGCAACCAACCATCTCCACAATGATGATACCATAGGCCTATCTTTCTCTTGATTTCTGTCAACACTGATCATTATCACCCAGAATATTGTCCAATGGAACTAGCCCCAATCTGGTCCTGTCTGTGTGTATATGATGTAGTGTTATTTGGTTGTACTGAATAAACATATCTCATTGGTTGAGAGGACAGTGGTGACTGTAGTCTGTCTTTTAGTTTTATTCTCATGAGTGTACATGAGGGAATATTAAAGTCAAGTCAAATGTGGATCCTGATAAACTCAAACTCAACTTCAAGTGCACAAGTACAACTCAGAGCATTTACTAGGTAGTCTCACCAGAAAAATGTGGTGTTTCATATTTGGAATGCACCCTGCATATTTGGCATAAGTGTCGGAGAGATGTACCCATAGCCCCCCTCCCTGTTGAGGTTGAGATTGTACATTCTTTTATACAGTACTAGACTTTACTATATTGCCTCTCTAACAGTGGATGTTACCTGAAACGTCTGACTGTTTCCAAAGTCATATCCAGTTGCTTGAGTAACTGCTTTTTGGCGTATCTTATTACCTGGACGTCTTTAAACCTTCACCGACGTTTATAGAGGAATAGCGTAACAAACACATAAATGACAGGGTCATCTGTGAGGGGACTAAAACAGTCCATTGGTACATTAAAAAACTTACAACAGTTACATGAATGCGCAGAAAGTTCAATTACATTTACGTAACCAGCAATTTTACACTTCACAGGAAGACTTCATAGCCTAGGCCATGTACCTGGGTCAAAAGTTACCTTCAGTACTAATGAGGTTGGATAGCCTTTACTAAAGATATTCTATGTCCTTGCCCTTACATACAGTAACGGTATCATATTCGTGACCAAAGGCCATGTTGATATGATTGGATGGATGACATCCACAGGCGCATGAATTTTTGCCCATTTCCAAAAGAAAAAAGTTTTCCATCATACTGCAAATTGTACAAAGCAGCTGCAAAATGAACAAATATATCCCGTACATTGCAAAAAAAAAAAAAGATTGGACACAATACTTGTCTTATGTTTTCCAAAGGAAAAGAAAATGTAAAGAAAGGAAAGTCTATTAATTATTTGTCATACCATACTCTGTGTGTTTAGTCATTTGTTCAACCTTCACGACCACTTAGATTTCATGATGAAGGCAACTTTCTTTGCCAAACTTTTTTTTTTATTCCCAAGCTCGCATCAGTTTTGGGGTTCCCAGTGGATGTCCTCCATATAATCAAATCAACAATGTTACATGGCCTTTATATTTATGTGAAGGTAGAAAAGGATGGTCCAAGACACCAATACAAAGAAGAAACAAAAAGAAGTGAAAGCTATTAAATTAAAACAATATTCTCGGTTAGAGCAAGATTCAGCGTTGCTTCCTTTTCTTTTATTAGGTTGGTTTGATGACAGCAGATGATGACAGCTCATTTCGTATGCATGTCACATGTTTTTATTTGTCCCCAACGTTATGGAATATACCACTGATATTTATCTAACGGGGATGCAAAGCAAAATGGTACAATCGTAACCACACGTACCCAGGAATATTTGAGATAAACTTTATTTAAAGACGAAGCAAGTAAATTTACTTTTTATGGTTTCGGAAGAAATTGTCACTTTTATTAAGTGTGGGTCTTCATTTATTTGTCCACTATTTTTCCCGCTATTTTATCCCACCCATTTAAATGGTATAGTCCATGCTGTATCCGGCTTCATTTCGAAGTATTGGCGGCAAGATGGCGGATGGCGACAGAAAACTCTGAAAAGGTTTCTTGTTTCAAAGTACGTCCTGGTCGGTTTATACGCCAATAACTTGAGTTTATTTCCTAGATATATATCCTACGTTTACCCCAAGATAGCTGACAGGAACAAAATATTCCATTTGCGATAATTTCTGAGGAAAAAAGCACGTACGTTACTAGACTCGGTCAAATTTTTTTTCTCACGTAACTTACCGTTTGTGTACACAGTTTTGAGGTATAAACAGGGGTCTTTGTGTTCCGTATTGTTTTGGTGTATGGTTGCGAGTACAAGTTCTGGGACGATAAAGTCGTCTGACAGCTGTGTCAGCCACTCTTTTCAAGCTTTGGCGGTTGGTTTGAGGCATACCCGACTAACAAATTTTTTTTGACGTAACACTCGGAAGAAACTACCATATCTTCAGAGGTGTGTGCAAAAATAATTTTATACAAGCCTGGTTCAAGAAGAAAGTAAAGGTAGCGAGGAAGGAATTGTAAGCAGTTTTGCAAGAAATGCAGCTTGTATTTCTGTAGATGCACGGCCCTTCTAAAATCATGACTGCAGCGCAACACAAGCATGAGGTTTAGGCGTGGTGACAGTTGCACTTGCAGGGCTTTCTTTTTTTTTGTTGTTGCCAAGACATGTTTGCAGAGTTGCAGTCATAATTTGTACACAGTACAGCCATAATTTGTACAGGTATGGTAAGAAGACTACATTCATTTATTTTATCACAGTTTAAAACTTTTACACACTAGGTTGCAAACTGACAAAATGAAGATGCCATCATAAGTGTTCTTCTTTTCTCCCTTGCAGACTGTTTGGCAAGTAATTGAACATTCTGATTGAAGTGCCAGTGTAGCAATGTCTCGCGACCGTTCCCACCTGAGTCCCTTTGGTAATGAGCTGGAGGATTTCGCTCCGGTTGCGGGATGGCGAGACTCCGCCGTCAACATGACCACCTCCGACATACCCGGCGATCCGATCGCTGCTTCTACGGTCATGAGACCTACAGGGGGTCAGAGGTGAGCGTGCTCGTAATCTGTAACTCTGGTGACCGTGTTTAACGTCTGTTTAATGATTGTTTATGAAATCTGTATCTGTATAGCCGGTATAACCGCCTTTCGGCGTAACACAACAGCTTTGCAGGCACGCGGCGCGGCGGCAGCTGGCTATATTACACCGATTGACTTGTTACACCTAATCCTTGAACTTCTAGCTCTAGACTTTGTTTAAAACTATCTATTGACAATGCCCCTACTGTACTTGGTGACAGTGAGTTCCACTCTGCAATAGTTCTAGGAAAGAATGAATTCTTGAACAGCTCACCCAAATATGTTGGGTGATATGTCACTTAAAGCAGTCTCAGCCTATCTGAATGTGTGTATAGGCTTTAGTCTACGTAGTTGATAGAGGGATACATGGATTAACGTCTTTTCCCTTCTCGTGCAGAAATAACAGTGATGTCAGAGGGTCGTTCATGGAAACTGCCAGCTGGCAAGCCGGAAATGGACTCGGAAATGACAGGTATACATGTCATATACACCGTTACACAGTAAGCAGCGGCACCTGTGCTGTGCAATGTGAACCAGTCAGAAAGGAAGTTGACAGACAGTCACCGAAATATTGGATGAATAAAACACAGTTTCATTGTGTTGCATCTCTTAATTCAGTGACTTACGTAAGTTACTAAGAAACTATTCGCGGATGTATAAAAGGTGGATATGAAAAGTCTTTGATGGCAACTTCGCTCATGTGCATGAAGTAAACTGTTATTATACATTGTAAATTAGTGATATTTTAGATCATCAAATGCTAATAAGATACTCTTGATATTATGATGTGAACTAAATTTGTAAAGTAAATTCCTGCCATAAATTTCTCCCCGAGCAGCAGCAATGTGGATGACTTCATCCGGTCCCACCGGCTGTCGGGGATGCTCCAGGACATTGACATGTCAGGACTGTCCATCGGGAGTGACGCTCACCCCGCCCACCCAGCCAACATCACAGGGTCCACCGACCAGACCCTGGACGGCACCACCAGCTCTCTGGGCATCATACATCTGGATAGTGTGCATGGTGAGAGCAGGGCTCATGTTTGTTTTAGGAAAATATTGCAAATGATAGAAGAAATATTTTCCATGTGAAGTGGATCTATGATGTATTGATTTTTGTCCATGAAGTGTGCTTTGTTCAAAAGATAAGGGTGTTTCAAATGTAAGCTACTAGTATTCACACAGGCAGCCATAGTAAGCTGACAGGGACTCATCACAATTGCATCACAGCTGTTCCTAGCAAAGAGCTCAGAGCAGACATTTTTAGGTTGCCATTGTTTTTAGGAAAAACGTAGTTAACGTTGATTTCAAAGAAGACAAAATTTTTACATGACGTTTTTACATGATAGATAAGATTTCATTTCAGTTCCAATCTAACTTCTAAGTCTACTATTAGAATTTGCCCCTCAAATTTAAAATGCAGGAAATAACATTTCAGAGGGTCAACTTGTATGTTTTCTTGCACTATTGAGTAGACCTATCAGGAAGCCTCGTCCATGTGGAAGACCCTTTGACTGTGAGAGAGGAACAGCTGGACCGAACCTTGACCCCCGACCCCTCGGGTCACCCGGACAGTCCCCCTGTCCTGAGAGGAAGAGGTGCAGGCGAGGATGTGCACATCCCCTCCCACCCACAGTCTGCCTTCTGGCCGGTACACGACACGGACGACAGGAGGTAAGGATAGAAAAAGGGAATTCTGTGTATTTGAACTTGGATTTTTTTTGTGTGATATGGAAAACAGACCTGAGTGATCATAAATAAAGTTATTACTGTAAATCCACCCTCAGTCTGCCTTCTGGTCGGTACATGACAAAGACGACAGGAGGTAAGGATAGGAAGAGGGAATCTGTGCAGTTCATTCACTTTTTGTTCATGGTAGCAGAGGTTCTTGGTCTGAGAAAAATGGAGAAACTATAGAGTGGCAATGCTGGCAAATTATTTGTTAACAGTCATGGTAAGACCCTAAAATTCAGAGTGGTGCAGGTAAAATTTGTCTGGTGCAGGTGATACATGTCTGTAGAAAAAAGGATTTTGAGCCCTGCCACAAAAATAAAACTACCGCCAATGTTTCACAAATTCACAGTAATGTATTGTAATATAGTGTATCAGTATTTTATGCATGATGTCAGTATGGTGACATTAAACAACCTTTTCTACCATACTGTGTACCTTCCATTTTGTTGAAATGGATTGTCATAAATAAAAAGTCAACATTACCTGTAACTGTATTTATCGTTGCCACCCTTTTTTTTGTAGGATTTCTGCTGTGAGTGAGCTGGGAAGCAACACCACAGACATGTCCATCTTCAGCCATCGTGACAGCAGCATCCTGCCTCTGGACAACTTTGACCTTCTGGAGGAGGAACTGGACCGCATGAACCAGACACAGGAGGAGGAGGAGACAGATCATCACTTCATGGGGCAGAATGGTATTTCATCTTTTTTTGTAGTTAATTTTAATTTTTCTTGTTTATTCAAAAGTAACATGGATGTGGCAATCCCCTATGTAATAGACATGTGTAGGCAAGTACATTGATAAATATAAAAGAAAATACCGGTACTGAATGTTTTGTCTCTACCGGTATCACAGATAGAGTTTACTGTCACTTCATGGGGCAGAATGGTGGGAAGCAGTGTTGTAGCCAGCGCCTGTCTTTCCGTCATTTGATGGACCAAAATTTTGCTCAATCCACCATCTTTAACGGACAAAAATCTGGGTGTAAAGATATGGAAAGAGTTGTCATTAGACTAAGCCAGTAAAGTCTATCCCTCAAAATGGGTACCTGACTTTTGTTGGCCGGGGAGGTAAAAGGCATCGGAAGGAGAGGAATGGGCTCTGCCTTCCAATACCATGCCCTAGACACAGCGGATTAACTACAGTGTATGTTGCATATACCCAGTGTCTCTCTGCCGAGTCCCAGGCCTCAAAAAGGCTATGAGACTACCTTTACTTTCTCTCTTTCATTTAACTTTTTCTATTTATAAGTGCATTAAGATATTTTTCCCCACATTTTTTTCTGTTCCAGCGGACAGAAACAGAGCCCCAGATTCTCCTCCCCACATCTCTGCCACTGCAGAGCCGACTGTGCTGAGAAGACTGTCCAGTGGAGATGGGGAGGAAAGGCTCTCTGCAGGTGGAGTTTTTTTGTCATTGAGTTTTACACACAAAAGAAAATCATAAGATACCCTGATACCGTCTTTGGGATGAGAAGGCTTGGCCTGTAGTAATCCCAGTCACAGATGTTACTCATGTGCTGTACTTCAGGCTCTCCCAATGTTTGTCTAACTGTAATTTAAACTCGTTGACTTCTTTAGAACATAGCTCACTCACTCACACACTCACTATCCGGTTTAGCATCTGTTGTTCCCCATCATCTGAGACCAAAGTTAGACGTGCTTACACACTGATGCTGAGGCTTGATGTCAGCCTGCCATTTGCCTCTGCCCTGTGTGTTGATGTTATGTAGTGTAGGTTAATGGTGGTGGAAATCCTCCCATAAGTTGTTGATCCATCTCTCCTTGGACGCCCGCATTTGTTTTGGCCTTCCATATCCAGTGTGATAATCTTTCTAGGCCACTTCTCTCATTCTTCGAAGGTGGCTATACCATCTTAGTCGGTTACAAAATATTGCAGAATGCTGAAGAAAAGGGATTTTTACCACTCATGTAATAGGAAACTACAAACGTAACATTTGCAAAGCAAATACATAATGTTTACCTTTGCATATGGTCTGCTCTCAATTAATTCTTATTCAAACACATTCATATGTCAGTTACAGAATATTACAGAATGCTAAAAAAGGGATTTCTACCACTGATGTAGTAGGAAACTACAAACGTAACATTTGCAAAGCACATACATAATGTTTACCTTCGCATATGGTCTGCTCTCAATTAATTCTTACTCAAACACATTCATATATATAGTGACAGGAGTTTAAATCCCTCCTGCTATAAAATTTTCGAACTCTGTAAATAAGCCGAACATCTCACGACAGAACACTGTACCATCAGTTCTCTTATGTAACGCTCGGTCGTTAGCAAACAAGCTTGATGAGTTTCACTCGGTGTTGTTATCTGAGAATGTAGAAGTAGCTGGTGTGTCTGAAACCTGGTTCAGTGACGATGTCCCTACTAATTTTTGGTCGTTAGATGGGTACACCACGTTCACTAAATCTAGAGAACACAGACGTGGTGGCGGGGTAGCCTTGTATGTAAGGGATGATATAGCTACTCACCAGATTTTAGACATTAATGTCCCAGATGAATTAGAATGTATGTGGCTCATGCTGCGCCCTAAGCGCCTACCTAGGAAGGTCTCGTCTATGATTGTATGTATAGTATATGCACCGCCGCATTCTGATTGTGACGAAACCTTAAGACTACACTTGTTTGACACTATAGATAAACTGAGAACCCGATACGATAATGCAGGTTATTTGATTATGGGTGATTTTAACCGTATTGACATGTCTGATGTGTGCTCTGGCAATGGTCTCCAACAAATTGTAAATGTTCCAACCAGATCCGAGGCTACTCTTGACCTAATATTGACAAACCTTACTGATTTCTACCACCCTCCCACCGTGACCTCTCCATTGGGGCACAGCGACCATAATGTGATCTTACTGAGCCCCAAACACCAGAGGGTCGTGAACAAGACTACGAAGCGTAAGGTACGGCCTATGATGGATTCTAACATCCGATCCTTTGGGCAGTGGATCACGACACACCGGTGGGAAGAAGTGCTGGACGTTCAGGGAACTCAGAATAAGACCACAGCCTTCTACGAAACTTTGAATCAAGCAATAGACAGACATTTCCCTTACAAAGTCATCAGAACACAAGCCCAGGACAAACCGTGGATGTCGCAAAAGATTAAGTCTGCGATCAAGGCGCGCCAACGGGCTTTCAGCGCAAAGAACTGGGTAAAATGGCGCATGCTCCGTAACAAAGTCCAGTACATGATCAAGAAAGCAAGAAAACTGTTTTACAACACGAAAATCAAGAAGTTAAAAACGGAAAACCCAAGCGCTTGGTTTAACGAACTCAAGGTTCTTACCGGCACTCAACGTAAGGACATGTCGGTTCCGATTGAAGGCGTAAACCC